GGGTTCCTACCTAGACTGATCTAACAGGATCGATCCATCTCCTAGGGTCTTAGATGTCTGGCACGCCTACTGAAGCTGCTTAACAATAATTAATTACCCCCTAGTTGATTGCAATTTAGCAAGAATCCCCTTGGAGATGGATTGATCCACAGTTGGTACAATAGGGTCTGGGAATGGTCCCTAAGACCCCATTCCCACAGATTTTAGATCGATCTATCCCTGTGGGGAGTCACTAGATTACTGCCGACTAAAAGCTGTAAGGGGGTAATTAACTACCGTGCACACTCGGCTGACATCAATTTAGCATGAACCCCCAGGGAGTTAGGTCGATCTAGATGGATGATTGACAATAATTATTGAGCAGAATTCATGTATTTTTTACTCTACTTTAGAAATAAATAGTAGGCAAATGCAGTTCATTTAGTGATATCACCCTTGTCAAGTTGTCCTGTGAGTTCAAAATTATTCAAGATTCATTTGACAGGATTTCACAAACAACCATTTGCTGAAATTATTATCTCTCAGCTGAGTATGTTGGAGATTATAAAGATTTCAGTCTTTTAACACCCACAATTTACTGTTCTGAATGTTACAGCATGTATTTTTTTATATGCCTTAGATTTGTGTTTGATCTGACAGTTAATTCCAGGAAAAGCACTCAAAGTTGCATGTGCTATATGGCAATGAGCAACTAATGAAGTTTCCGTGTGAAGAGCTTTTAAAACATAAGTGGGATATTTTAAAGAGGTTATGATCAAATATATCTGGCTCATTTGATCCTAGAACCCATGTTTCAAGTATTTTTACGTTAAAGCATTGAAGAGACACAATACAATTATTAATGGAACATGTTTTAGTACATCCTGCAATATGTAGTATGGGCACTTAGAGATCCAGTATAGATAGGAAGTCATTGGTGTATAGTTATTAGATTTTGTTATCTTTGTGGTTATTGATTAGATTCTAATATAAGGGTGTATTTCCTGCATTTTATTTCCTTTGAGGATTGTGGGGGTGGTGTAGACCCTTATGTGCTGTACTTAATTAATTATCCTGAGTAGCTTAAGTAATAAGTACTGAACCACAGACATTTATTTATAGCAGATACACATGGTGTAAACTACATTATAACTCATACTTAGAGTGTGTCTAGCTTTGCCAGACAGTTTTTCCAGACTCATTTTTCCTTATTGAGTGGTGATTATCTTCTAAGTGTATTTTCTTCTAGGTGGTTTTATCCATTAGGAACCAACTTCCTCATATGCTGTAACAGTTGAGAGTGATTAGATAATATTTTCTTAGCAAAAAAAAAAAAAAAAGCATCTGTTCCATTACACATTTTAACTGTGTCAAGTTACAAAAAAAGAAGTCTAGCTTTCACAAGTTTTTGCTCATTTTAATCCCCCTGGATACAATGAAAGCTATTATTGACAATAGAGACAGTCGTAGACCTTTAAAAAGTTAATGGAATTAGTGAACAGGAGGATGGAGAGAGAGATGGGTGTAGTGGTAACTTTGGTCAAAATTAGTTTTCTATATTAGGACAGAAACATGAAAGATGGCAACCTCCCTCCAGCCATGACTGTAGTTCATCAGTTCAAAAATAAAGTCATAAACAGGAATTGTTTGCTTATCTTGGTAAAGGGATGCAAGAATTAAGTTTGAACTTGTTTCCATTATAATGCTGTGATATGTTGTTATGGTATTTAAAACACTAAGGTTGTTTTATGTTTTTATGGTCTATAAAACATCACAATTTATAAATGGCATTCAATTGTGTGAAGGAATTTACTACATGGAAAATTTTCTCTAGAACACGGAATGCAAATTGAAGATTTTGTCAAATTTCAAGGTAGTTAAATTTGTTTTTTTTTATTGGTATTACATTTGTTCTATATGCAATCAAGAGCTGTGTATTTAGACATTTATTTACAGAACTGACAAATATTCATGAAATACAGGTCAAAGTCAAACATCATCTTGATTGGACCATTTTTCCCAAAGTAATAATTTTTTTCTTCCTCTTTTTTCTGCAGATAAAATGAAAGCCATTTCACCTTCTTCAAACTTACAGAACAGATGGATTTTCATAAAATACAGGTCAAGTTAAAAAATCAGCCTGATCAGGCCATTTTTTCCAAAAGTTATGGTCTTTTATTTATTCTTTTTTCAGCATATTTCATCCACTATTATACAAATAAAATGAAAACCGTTTTACCTTTTGTCTTTAAACTTACAGAACATAAAGTACAGGTCAAGTTTGAAAATCAGCCTGATCGGATCATTGACGATCAGTTATCGTGTATTATATAATAAAAAGTCAAAAATGGATAAACTCAAATCTTTGCAGTTTGTCATAATCAATCCCTCACAGAATCTCAGAATGGAGTAAATTGGACTTTTACATTGTTCTACTGATATTTTTTCCATCTTAACTTTGAATTTCCATAGGCCTGAAGACCTTTGCTAGTCACATTTTCTAAATATCTGTGTTACCTGCAGTGCATAATTTACTAATTTAATAATCGATGGTGATTATAAGCTGTTAAGCATTAAGTAACATTGCATCAAAACTGATAATAAGATTTTTATGTACTGCCACTACGAATGCTGTAAAAATAAAATTGTGGTACTTATTATTTTGTAACTTACAAGAATAATTGACATACAGCTCAAATTGGCAAACCAGCTTTATTGGATTATATTTCTTTCTTTGATGCCTTGTTTATTTTTACTGCAATAAGCTTCATTTAGTACAAGTGAATGTCTACATGATGCAGTTCACTAAGTTGGTGATTATATTTCCCAAAATTGTTCTGATAGTGGCATGATAAATAGGCAGTTACCAAGCCAACAAGGGTCCACTGCAATGATTTGAAGCTGGGCACTTGTGGGCTTCTGCAGAGTTGAGATTCACAATGATGTCATTGATATATAGTTTCTGCTTTAGAACATTTTGTTAAGTGGGCACCAGAAAAGTAAAAAAAAAATAATAATTTTTTAGCATCACTTTTAAAATAAAAAGTGTGATATTTTACAAAATACCCATGTGATTTTGTATTTATAGAAATTGACTATAGTGATGATTACCAGGGACTGGAGCTTAATGATGAGCATATCTAGTATGATAGATAACCTTCAACATTCATTGAGTGATTCTTCCAATTCCCAGGGCAGTCCTATAGTTTGAACATCTGATTGAAAAATGAGCTACTAATACCCATGATTCACTGGTAGTACTGAAATAGGTATAAGGTAATTGCTAGTGAATTTTGACCTACCATATTTTTAATGGAATAAAAGAATTTGTATCGTTACATGACATCATTATTGCCTTCAAAAAAATAAAGCATGCACTTACATGAGTACAAACATGCACATGATGTAGTGGCAAGTGACATGTGCTGACACTCCTATTGAAGTTTTATTTTTGGATAAAAGGGAAAAATCAGTAAATTTGGAACTTATGGGGGCTTTCAGAACAGATGATCCCTGGATCAAGTAGAGCTGACCCCACTAGAAAGCAATGCTGGTAATCCCCTAATGATGTCCCCTCCTACCACATGTCCTGCCCTGCAAGGGCCTAGCAATTAAACCCCGGAGCCTAAATTTAATCTGTTTTTTAAATTGCTTGGTCCCTGCAGGGATTAGTGGCATTGCTCTCAAATGGGTTGGCCATATTTGATCCATGGACCATTTAATTTGGGATTATCTGTTCTGAATGCTGCCAATTATATACATGTAGTTAAGATTACATGTAGTTAAGGCAATTTGTTGTGCTCACTAATAAGAATAGATCCACAGTGATTAGTTGAATTTTTTTAACTCCCGGGCTGTTGCCTTTTTTGTTACATGTAGGTGCCTGACTGATTATTTCTGGAAAGACATTTTTTGTAGATAAACCAGTGACCTTTGAGATCAGTCTAACATGTTAGTACTAGTGCTTTGGCTATACATTATCTTATAATTTATAGAAAATTTGAGAGGAGTTCAATATCCTAATCAGCAACGCAGACACATAAGTTAGAGAATCATGTTTGGTAAAGACATAAAGACAGATATTAAAAGGTTATGAATGATCAAAACTCCCAGGTTTTTAGGGCCTTAATTTGGTTCTTATTGTGTGTGACTCAAATTCCCCATCAGCAAGCTTATGCTTGCAAATGAAAGAGTGCAGTAAAAGACCAATAGTTTTATACAGAGAGAAATACTGAGATACGAACATGTGATAGTTGGCATGATACTATGTATTAGATTTAATTATATTTTAATGTTTGTTTTACTTGCAAATTTCTTATCATGGCCAAAGACGTTCGTTAGAGGTTATTTTCACCTCACTTGGCATATACAGTACATGTAGGATGAGCAACGGTCACATGTCACTTCAAGGGAAATAACAAATTTTCAGCATTTAGCAGGTGGTAATAATTTCATTTCTTGGAAGGACTTAAATATGCCTTTGGACATAATTACAGATACAGGATTTCTTAATATAAATTATGAAGATTATTAACACCTGGTCTAGTTGATTCTGAATGATGTTTATGTGTAAGTTGCTGCATGTTACATTTCATATGGCCTTTTGTTGGATGACCTTTGTCCTATTTCATGAAAAAAATGTGGGAAGTTGGTTATAACTTTTGACTGAAATACTAGGCGGAGCATGCTTTGTGGCAGGTTTTATAAGTAGTACAAATGAAGATATTTGTCCAGTTTCACATCAGGAAATGAAAGGTTTTGAATTTATTGTTATTTCTACTTTAATAGAATACATTATGCTGCCATTCCTGTGGAAGATCCTGTGCTTCCCATATTGGGCTTGTCTCCCAAAAGAAAAGTTACTGTTGTCATACTCTTAATGAGTAACAGCAGATGATTAACATCCTTGGTCAGACATGTTTGATTTGTTTTACCTCTAAATTGTGAACAGATGTATGAGACAAGTACCAGTACATAGCATTTAATATACATTTTGATTCAGATCCATATAATTTAATTATTATGCAAATGTTTTCCCCTAGGCTTTATTTATGTCCTCGGTGGAATGAGTGATTTGGGAACAGAAATGAAAACAGTAGAAAGATATAACCCAGCCACCAATGAATGGACAAAGCTTGCCAGCATGAAAGAGAAACGTGCCTACATTGGGGTGACTGTCCTTGATGAGTACATATATGCTGTGGGAGGCTGGAATGAACATCATGGTGCTTTGAAAACTGTGGAGCGGTATTATCCCAGAAAGGTACAATAATTTATTTTACTTTACTGATTTTTACATAGTATTGTTCAGCTTATTTTGTTGGGTTTATACCAGTCTTTATAAGATCTCCCTTAACAGCAGAAGTGAGTCCCAAACCCTTCACCTCAGTGTCTAATTCTTTGACTTATGTTGAGGATATGTTGCTTGTCATTAGGATCATAACATTCCAAATTGAAATGCATTTAACAGACTTGGGGGGGGGGGGGGGGGCAAACTATAAGTGATTTATAAAGTTTATTGCAATGAAGTGTGACACCTTCATTATAACTTCCAAAATAAACATTGATGTTATAGTGCAGTTTTTTGAAGTTGACATTTTACCCAATTTTTTACCATATAATACACATACCAAGTATGATTATTCCTCAGTATATTTATAAAAGTAACAAGATATTCTTGTTCTGATAACATATATATGAATATGTGTGAACTCTAGAACATGACAGACTTTATGGATTGAAAATTTACACTATTTCTCATTGCAAGATTAATGGAAACTTGTAAGAAAATTACTGATTGTGAGCACCTTTTTCTATGAGGATTCATGTATGTGACTGAAAATATTTTAAAGGTGTTATGTTGATCTAATTTTGAATGCCACCTTGTTATTGTTGACTAATTTTAAAGTCAATTTGTGCTTGCAATATATAATCAAAAACCAGTATATGTATCTTTTGAATATATATGACTCAAAGATTAATCCAATTAAAATTGCTTTATTATCTCATAATAATCGTCTGTCTAAAATGACATCTATTTCAGAATGAATGGACATCCCTCCCGACCATGTCTGAGCCACGCGCTGGTGCCTCAGTGGCTGCAGTAAATGGACTTGTGTTTGTGATCGGTGGAAGAACAAGTAGCAATGAGTTCACAGCTCCAGCCACCTTGGACACAGTGGAGTGCTTTGATCCCCATACCTGGACTTGGATTGAGATTGGTAAAATGCCCACAAGTAGATGTGAGGCAGGCATTGCTGTACTGTAGCACCAGCATTAATTACTTGATCTGGCATATTGTGTTTCACAATGGCGGGTCCAGGGCAGGGCTCAGACCCTTCTCTTTGCTTGGGAGGTGCCACCTTCTTCCCTGTTCCAAAATATTATAACAAGGAAAAGAGAAAAAGTATTTTCAGTCTTTGTGCCTGACAAAGACTGCTGTACTGTTTCATATTGGTCTTGCTTCACCTGGCATCACTTAGCAAAAACCTTGGTCCCCACCAGTGCTTTGATACAGTTTTGCACTTTCGGCAAAGCATTTCATCATCTGTGTTGTGCACTCAAACTTACAATAATAAATTCTACCATCAGTAGCTAAACTTCAGACTTATTTCACTTGAATATTTTTAAGTCTCACCTACAAGAGACTTTTATCGGGGAATGAGGATTTTTACCTTTTGTTGGATGAATCTATTATTGTAACTTTCAGTTATGCATTTTTAAAAATAACATATATGGAAAACTTTGCATAATTACAAATTTAGGCTGAATGTAGTCATTCAAAATATGATTAAATGATCATCTATTGTGGACTTGGATGATATCACGAAAAAACATAAAACTTGCTGTTGACTTGAAATTTTGTTTTATTGCCTTTGTTACTGAGGAAAAAACAATATGATCCTTTCAGATGAATCCTCATTAAAGTAAATAATTTAATTTAAAAGAAGTATATGTTACCAACTAGCAAATGTGTATGCTTGGCTGATGAACCAAGAATACTGTTATTTATCATTTAGGGGTCAGAAAAAAGGGAAATCAATAAGTCAAGCATTGATGGAAGAAAAACGTTTGAAGTTGCAAATTCAGTCCCCTCTCAATGTAGTTATAGAACATCAATTGGTGCTCCTAAAGAGAAAATTTATTTTAAAATATGGTAACTTGTTAAATAACTCGATGAAAATGATGATAACAATTTAACTTTGTTGTCAGTGAATGGTGGATTAAGCTATGTGATAATATTAAATTTAATGTATGTGCAATGGTGCAATTTGCTTTTTGCTGCATTATTTATGAACCCTAAGGGCAATCCTTTTGGATTGGTTTGTTCTCTGTTAACTTCCTATTTGTATGGAATTTTTTAACTTTTTGGCACCAAGATTAAAAAGATTTAAGCATACTTTTTCACTTACCTCTTGCACATGTAATCTGAGAATCGGAATACAATGCATACTGTTATGTAAACCAGTGTCCTTTCTGTGTTCAAGGAAGACTACCATAGTAATATTCACCTTTCCACCAACTATGTTATGCATGCAGCATTCTGGTCTATACATGTCCACTGCTGTTTTCAAGTTGCAGCTTCTAAGTGCCACTGGATATTGGGCATGCAATCACCACCAGCAGAAATGGGTTGACCATGCATGCCTGTCATTATCTTTGGAAAGGTGAATTGTACTTCCTGCTGGTTGACAAATCTATGCTAGTATCTGAAACTTTGTTTGGATATACATAAATCATGTCTCAGAAATGAAATAGTAAAAAGTAAAGTTCAGTTCTTATATACTGCATTACATGTGTGCCTTAGCACAATTTTCAGTGGACGCCTGGTGGTCCTTTTTGGCACTAATACAGACTGGGTGTTTACACTCTCACCTCCCAATTTGGGATTTCTGTTCAATTATGGATGGCATGTTGCAAACACATCAGTAATAAGTCGCATGTTTTCTATGAAAACAAATAAGTTATTCCAATTTAAATAATTAAGAAATCATTGGGGACAGACTTGCTTTTACTTGCTAATCCTGTAATGGTCTCTCCGCCTCTGACACGCCTCCCCCTCGTTGTCCCTCGACCGGTTGAATTGAGCCGAGATTTAATTACTTTGCCCCAGCAGGGATGACGCGTGGGGAGGCGTGTGAGAGGCGGAGAGACCATTACAGGATTAGCGGTCTTCCTTTCATGTAGGTACGCCATGTTTAGGCCGTGGCCTTACTAGCACTCAGCTTTTCTCAATCTGATCAATGTTCAAATGAAAAATGAGGAATTTTGTAACAAAGGTTAGGTAAAATGCATCCATATTTGTTTTAATTATTTAAGCTAAAAGCTTACTTTAGAAGCAGAATTCTGGATTTGTGGCATTACAAATATAACATTATAAAATTGTGAAATGAATATAAATGTTTATTCAAGTCAACAAATTGTTACAAAAAGGTGTTTTGCTTACTTTTCAAGAAATATAAAGGAGATTCTGTACTATATACATATAATTATATTTACCACTACACCTGTACTGGACACTTTTCATCGCAGATATGTTGAACCATGCATCTATAGAATTCACACTCCACATTTTAACCAAATTCCCTTTTGATATTTTCTTAGTATAGTAAGGGAGGTTAGGTAAAACTGTGTTCTGTCATTTAAAAACCATTGAAAGTGTCTAAAGATACTGTAAAGCTACATTCACAACAGCAGACCTACAAGTCCACGGATCAAACTATGGCCAACCCACTTGAATGCTTATTGGGTAATCCCTGCAGGGAATCTATGCAGTGGCTCTTAGGGGATAAGATTGCAGTCTTTAACTAGTGTGTGAGCTTTAAGTGGCTCACCATATTTGACTAGTTAGTCAGCTGTTCTGAGTGTGGCCTTAAACAACACTTGCTGTTCCCAGAGCAAGATGGATCTTGTAGTTTCTAGAGAATGTTTTCAGAACTGTAATACTTCCTTAATGGCCTCCTTTCTTTTGACCTGAATCTTTTCTTCAGACCAACAGGTTACATCCCTATACTTCCCTGCACCGATACTCCCCCGCACCAATACTCCCCCACATCGATACTTTCCCTCAGTATCGATGCAGGGAAGCAATGATGTGGGGGAGTAACGGTGCGCCTACATCAGCAATTTTACTGGGGATGTATCGATGCGGGGATCTATCGATGTGGGGGATTATTGATGTGCATAATACACAGAAATTTACTAAGGGGGGATAATTGGTGCAGGGGAGTATCGGTGCAGGGGAGTAACGGTGCGGGTGAGTATAGGTGCGTGGGAGTATCGACATGACCCCGACCAACACCACGTGGCAGTGAGAGTCAAATGCCAGAGGTGTCTGTGGCAGTTCTTTCATGTCATCTATACTGCTGATCAACATCTTAAAATGATCTGATTAGGCTAAATTGCTTACCTGGAATGAGTTCTACGTTCTGCTAGAGCAGAAGGGGCCACACAGCACATCTTGGGGACCAATTCCAGTTGCAGGATCTGAGGAAGCTGGTGATGCAAGCCACTACACTACCCCCTCTTCTGAATAAACATTCGGGGCATACTGAGACTGTTGTTGCTTCAGCTCACTAAACATGTTAAACAGCTTGCCATGGTGTGCCCTGCTTTGACCACATGGCATGGCCAGAGAGGGCCCTTGGCAAACATCCAGCACTGTGGAACTCTGCAAGGACCCTGAAAGTGGTGTAGGTGGATCAGCTGATCCCTCCTCCCCAGAATGCACTGGATGAGTATCAGGAAGGAGAACTGGGTGTGGTTCTCACCTGGCAACACTGCAGTACAGCACAAGGACCTGTGCTGCACTTCTCCAGCCTTTGACTCCCTCAGGCCTGGGGGACCATGCGGTCAATCCCCACCTCCCAGAGTGGTGACATCTGGAGAGGACAGGAGGGCCTCTTTGTGCAGATATGACGCGTCCCTCACCTGCTTCTTAAGGTGAAGCCCCATAGCTCGGCATAGGCTCATTTTTTTGAGAATGGGCAGTTCCTTGGGTCCTGGGCCAGATGTCATGTAGAACACTGCTGTTTGCCCCATGAGCCTGAATGGATAGCAGACTCATTGTCCCTGCCATTCACCTCTTCAGTGAGGAAGAGAAACCCCTTGCCCATACGCAGGGAGGCTTGATCTAGGTAGAAATGGGAGTCAAGCCCTTCAGGGAGGCTGGACAAATGACTGCTCTTCTCTTTGAAGGGAGTAAATGGGTCCCATCAATCAACTCTGAGGCTGTTCCAGGAGGACGGCCATCCTGAGCAGGAACCTCCAATGGAGGAGGGCATGTAGCCCATTGCCCCTGGCCTTGACCCGAAAAGGACCCTCTGAACTTCCAAATAAAATGCTACTTAACTCCCACATGGCCAGCTCCAGCTAGGGACTGATCTCCTTATTTCGCTGTGGGAAACCCAATGGCCCATTGTACCTCAGGAGCTGAACCAGGGTGGAATCTGGAATTTCAGCTCCTTCTGTTAACAGCAACCCTGCCAGTCAAACTGTCCAGAAAGATGTGAGGCAGGTGATTTACAAAGACCCGATTCTTCATTTTATGGCCACCACAGTTAGGAGCAGTGCAGCTGCCGCCGTCATGGTGACACAACACGGAGACGATGGTACCGCCACCTGCCGCTGTGCTGGCTTACCGCATATTGTTAGAGGAAGTGGCCACATCAGATGGAATCGCTTCCTTAGTGACTGCAGATTTAAGTCTCGAGTATCTACCATGCTCTGTCCTTCTGGCGGGCCGATATCTTAACTCCACCTACTATGTCCACTCCACCAGAGGACACGAGGAGTAGGGTGGCGGCGCCCCTTAGCATATGTCCCACGCCTCACAAGATGTCGCGCACCTCTCGTGAGACTTGTCTTGAGAGACAAGATAATACCTTAACTTTATAGGTAATATTTAAATAAGACATTTAAGGTAGATCTTGGTATAAGTAGGACAGGTGAAGGGTAGATTAGGCACCTATGACTCGGGACTTAAAAACTAAGGCAGTGGGAATAAAGCTGTTTGGATCTTCTCCATCTGTGAACATAAAATCGAACCTTACACCAGCAAGCAGAGTGGATGGTACACAGCATCTTGGACCACAATATCCCTTTCGCTTATCAAAATTTGGCAAAAAAAAAATGCATATTTTTCATTCTGGAATCAATTTGATCATGGAAGCTTTCCGTCAAATCCCCTAAAACCTTGACACAAAAAGTTCTTGAATATTCATTCCCCAAGCTACATTTATGCGTAGTAAACTTAAAATCAGTGCACTTTTTTAGCTAGGCTACGTTAGACCTCCGCTCTGCTGCCTCTGCAATTTGATAGTTGTATGTTTTTTTACAGTTTTTATGTAATTTTTGTTTGCCTTTCTTTCTGTAAATGTACTTGAAAGATGCCACAATGCTCTACCTCCAATAGAGCTGGTGCTTTTGGTGTTCTTCTCAAAGCACCAGCTCTATTGGAGGTAGAGCATTGTGGCATCTTTCAAGCATATGTTTGAGCAGTGATGTGATAGCCTGATCTGATACCTATAGTTTGAGGGGTATTGCAGTTTGTCTTATTTTTTCCGACAAGTGTCATTCCTCCCAATCAATGTTAGTATTTCCTTTCGTTCATCCTGAGGCATAGGTAATGAGTCTGACATCTTTGGAGGTGAAGGATTGGTTTTGTGCGATTCTCGACCTGAAAATTTTATTGACTGTTTTTGTCAACTTTCTGTGCAATCACGATCAGCAATGATCAAGAGGTGATCATATTTTTTAATAATATTTGTTTCATGTAACACAGGTGATAGTGCTGGTGCGTTAATTTGTGATACCAATAAAAAATAAAAGCTTGTGCTTCTAGTGAAAATAGTTCTCATTGCTCCTGCTTAATCACTTAAGACTGGGTTCCCATACCTAGATCGATCTAACAGGATTGATTCATCTCTGAGGGGTTTCTCGCTAAATTGCTTTCAGTTAAAGCGGCTTAGATGTCTGCCACGCCTACTGAAGCTGCTAAACGATAATTAATTACCCCCTAGCAGCTTTAGTAGGCGTGAGAGACATCTAAGCCGCTTAAGTTGATTGCAATTTAGTGAGGATCCCCTTGGAGATAGAGTGATCCACAGTTAGACCGATAGGGTCTGGAAACGGTCCCTTAGATTAACATATGCCATTATTGCAGTATCCTTTATTTTAGAAAAAGTGTTAGAACCAATTAAGATTATTATTATAAAACTGCTTGTATGAAGTACAGCCTTAATTGATTCACGTTTGTTTTGTTGCAACTGCTCGTTCTGTTTATTATTTTTTTTCAAATTTTACAAATTATGAATTGCAGTAGCCAAATATTTACATTTCGACTATCTACAATAAAAGTCATTCCAGCCTTTTGTAATGAGGATATGAGCTTATTATTCATGCTTTTACATATCTAAACTTAAACTATCTTGAACACAAGGATACACAAACTTGCCGATAAGACGGGATAATTCCCCATGTTTTCAGAACTTTCGAAAATCCAATAACAAAACGGCTTATCCTGACAAATACTGTGTACTAATTCACATTCGTAGCGAAGTGGTACCCTTTCTCCAGGGTTGCTTGCGGACGACCAGTTGACCTTGTGCCAAAACGCAATCTTAATTCAGTAAATACTTAAGCCAATTTACGTTCCCTTTGCCTTGTAAAATAATTTCGGAAACTGTCTCCGCTGCACTTGTTTTACTTGATTAATTTTACGGAAAAGGAAATAATGGGACATTCCGCGCCGCATTTGTTTGGTACAGTCGTCTGCTTTTGCGTTGATGTTGATCGAAGCCCCGGATATCGTCTGAAAGGGATTTCTCCAGGGGCAAGACCTAAATTCAAAGTTTTATTTCCCAATTTCTGCATTGATTTCACGTTGTTGTTGTGTTTAGTTATATGTTGAGAAAAAAATCGATTCAACAAAACTGTTAATGCGTAAAAAGTTCCAGGGTCTAAGATGTCAGGGGATTTGAGAGACGCAAGTCTCTTCTCCTAGATTTTAGAGCAGGAGGCCACTGGAACTTTTACATAACGCAAAATCTGATTTGACCTAGAACCGAATCAGGAACACATTTGGA